CTCTGTTGCAGTGCGTGTGAGTCTGTGTCTTTAGTTCAGTCTGTGTCATGTTTCCTGTTTTATTTTGAAGGTCCTTGCCTGAGGTTAATGTACCTGGTTTCGCTTCCCCTTGTCTCATTGGGCCTGATTTGCCCCAGCTGTGTTTCCCTCCTGTTACCCATTCCCTGATTGCTCCCTCTGTGTATTTAAGCCCTGTGTTTCTCTGTGTCTGTGTCGCGATCTACTGTTTATCTAGCTGTGTGTTCTGTCAGTCTTCCGGTGTAAGTTTATTTTGATATGTCCAGTTATTTTGCATTTGAGTTTAGCATTAAAGCTGTTTTGAGTTCAAGTTTTGCCTCCGAGTGTCTGCACCTTGGGTCCTATTCCTGCCTGCACACAGCCGGTCATAACAGATTTAACAGTCTAGCAGCTCGATGTTTTTAGGGATTTCAGTTGCTTGAAGAAATTTCCTGAAATGTTAATATGATTAAGAAAATAACCCTAAATATTTCCTTTTTCTTTTAGCAATTGTGTATTTTTCTTAGTCTTAACACTAGCACAGACTGAAGGGCAAGTCCAAACATACACTGGCAAGAGATGCCCAGAAGTCGCTCGTTTTGGCATTCTTGAAATAGAAGTCTTTCAAATATTTCTGTTGAAAGAGAAAAAGACTTGATTACTCAGCTGCTGGGAGATTTGAAATTATAATTAATGTTAATCAAAAGAGCAACATCAATTTTTTAAATACTAAAAGAGCTGTGAGTCTATGACTTACTCGACAACCATCTCTGAACTCGTCTCTGCCCATCCAGTCCTCCAGCATCCTGAGAATAGATGCTCCCTGGAAAAAAGTTGAACAATTTTCATTACAAGGTAAATGGACTGTGTTAAATCCTCCCAATTCTTTTGATCTTTGGGCTGAAGGAAGAACAATACTCGGTGTATAAATGCTCACTCAACAATCCTTTATTCCATACAATTCAACACTTTAAGAGCACAAACCATCCGGATGGGGAGACAGCAAATCTCAAAAGGGTGGAGCGTTACTCAAACCTTTATAGCCTCTGTTGACCCCCACCTAGTCGTAAAAGCCTAAAGATGCCCTCTAACTCTCAGTGAGCCTGAGTTATGACCTTGGCTCCCTGTTTATCTGCTTCCAACGAGGGGGTGAAGCTCCTGTGGAATGTGCTTTCTGCACACAGTAGTCTCTTCTTAACTCAGCAGTATGAAATGTCATGAAACAGTAACTCATTCACAGTAAATCAATATAGGTTAATACAAACCTATCTAATGAGTCTAATGATTTTCACATTCTTTTGTCATTCAGAAGCATAATGCAAACTAGAACTACGGCGACATACTAATTATACTCTCTATAATAAGAAGTATGGTGTGGCTTACAGTAGTATAATAATTCACTCATTTCGATTATAGGCATAGGATAACATATGACAAAATAATCTCACAACTGATATCCATAGAGCAATTTTAATGTATTGTTGACAACTCACAGGACTTTTATAGTGCAATCTGCATCCACCCATTCAAATATAATATCCAGTATTTATTCTGTTCATCTTAAGTGCTTAATCTGTCACACACAGTCACGAGTGATACATGTTGGATCTTGTTTGCATGTAGTGTAACAGTATGGTTAACTTTTATTGTCTGAGTGCTTGCAGAGAGATCTCATACCTTGCTGTATGAGATGGCATCAAACACAGAGGTGATTTCAGCTGGGGTTGACACATCTACAATGATCGGATGAGAGGACAGCAGAGCGTCATCCACCATGACAGGAAGCACATCACTGATGATCATGATGTCTCGCTGTAAGACCACAGCAACACAGGTACTGAGAACGTCCAGGTGACTGGCAGTAATAGCTCAGTGGATCTTTAATGTGCCTTTAAAGGAGAACTCACCATGCCCCAGGTTGGTTCTGCTAATTCCACTCCGATGTACTCAAAGAAGCTGGCAAAGCCCTCATTGAGCCACAGGTCATCCCACCAATCCATAGTTACAATATTTCCAAACCACTGAAAAAAATACAACTGACATGAGTTTCAAGAGTCCACACAAAATAAGAAATTGCAAAAGCACACAAAACAAATACGGAAATAGGAAAAACGAATTTCCATTTTCTTTTTTCCTATTTCTGCTGTGTTTTGTGTGCTTTTGCAGCGTTTTTCTTATTGCTGGTGTTTTCTTAAGTCGCAGTTCGTTTGGCCTCTCAGGGCCACCATAAACTCTCTCTACATTGTTATAAGTGTGCCACAAAACCAACCAATCACAGACTAGGATGCAAAAATTCTGATTGGCTGTTACGGCTACAGCTGTAGCTAAATCCAGTGGAGTGGTTTGGTTTAAACTGTGGTGGACCACTGGAGGGCTCCACTTCCCCAGTGGACAGGAAATGGTTGCTGTGTTTTGGAGCGCAAAGTATTCAGTTGTGTGGTGATAGTGAATAAACCAGGAGTGATAATTGAGAGATCTCGTATCACCTGTGTTTATCTCCACAAAACTAGATTAAAACCAACAATGGTCTTAAAAAATAATATATTTCAAAATAAAATAATTAAACATACTAACTGCAGTAGCAGTAGGAATGCAGTAGCTAGCGAGTTGATTGGAGACCGTAACAGCCAATCAGAATTTTTGCATCCTAGTCTGTGATTGGTTGTTTTTGTGGCACACTTATAACGGTGTACAGAGAGCTGAGCGCGCAGGGAGCAGAGATGCTGAGAGCAGGTCTGCAGATGTCTGTGAGCACACAGAGCAAATGCCAACAACTGAGCGAGAGGGGCTGTTACTGTGTGTGTATATGGATGATAGCAAACACTGAAATACATTTCTTGTTCGCAGAAATGAATTTTGTTCCCTCAAATTAAACTTTTCTTCACTCAAAATAATTTTCTCCTCAAAATGCAACATTTGCCCTTGCATTTTTTTAACGTGTGCTCAGAATAGAGGCACAAAAATAACACCATATAAACCTAATGCAGACCGGTGAATAAAAAGTAGTGCACAGTTGTCTTCAGTATTCCAACACAGCAGTGCACTACCCTGTAAAAGCTTTATTGCTCAAAACATGTAAGAAGAGGGTTTTGTAAACATCAACTTAACTGCAATTTTAAATGAAAAACTCATCCATTCCTGTCAAATATCTGATATGTTGCAATGAATCATGTACATCATGCAAAAGGTTGAAGAACATATAAAGAATTTTTTAATTATACCTCTGGATTCTCAAATGAGTCTTTGCGCTTGCAACTGCTGAATTGTGACATACTGTAGAGGCCTGAACTAACCAAAGACCAAGTCACAATCAAAGTAAACAAGTACAAATGGTCAACAGACTGGCACTTTTGTACTTTACTTAAGTTCTTTATACTACATGCCTCATTCAGCCATTCATAAAAACACTTTTTTCTATCCTTTATATTTAACATTTCCGTTCTGATGAATGCATCGGAAAGCAACTTAGGGTTCCTTATCTTGCCCAAGGATCAGATTGAAGCAGCCAGTCTGAACAACCTTTCAATTAGCAGATGAGCTGCTCTACCTCTACCCCGACGCTTACAGAAACTGGTATTCCCAGTTTTCTCTCATCCAAGAAAACTTGGTTCAAACAAGAGTGGCTCCATGATGGAGCTACTGTTTTATGCTTTTAATTTAATTTTAATTAGGATGAATGACTAGTGATGTTTAATACTGATGTTATAGAACTCTACCAAAAACACCCAAACTCTATCAAAACAGTCTAAAAATTCAAACAATGTTTGCCATAGAAGAAGAAAAAGACACATGATCCGCTCTGTTATTAACCATAAGATGAAATCCCCGCTGAGCGGGCTGAGCTTGCCCTACAGAGCTTCACTATGTTAGTTTATGACCCAAATTAATGTTGGACTCTGTCGTTTTCTCTGGTCCCCTTCATTCTTTTCTAAGAGTGAGATTCTAGTCACACATTCTCCTTAATTTCTTGCTCAGTAAAACTGACTTGAATTAAACTGAATTGTATCATAAAGTTGGCATTTCAGTGGTACGTAATTCATTCTAAAATGTTTCTTTTAGTCACTACATAAAGCACAAAATATAAAGTATGCAATTTAGCAAAGTGGAAGAAAACATTTTCAGGAAAAATGTTTAATCAAAATATATCAAAACATTACCTGGTGAACCAGTTCATGTGCGATGACACTGGCAACTCGCTGCTTGTTGTAAGAGGATGACTGGTTTTCATCATAAAGCAAGTTGGTTTCCCTGTAGGTGATAAGACCCCAGTTCTCCATGGCACCAGTACCAAAGTCAGGAATGGCTATCTTATCTGGATCCAAACAGCAGAGAGGTACAAATCACCACACACACACATACATGATTACCTCCGATGACCACTGGGACCACTGTTACCTTCACCTTCCATATCTTCTCCAGCTTCTCGTGTTCCTCTTTCCTGATGTTTCTGTCATCACTACATCTATCTAGGGGCAGGGATAGCTCAGTAGGTAGTGTGGTGGCCCTGTGATTGGAAGGTTGAGGGTTTGAATCCACTGAACGGCTACCCTGCGGTACCCAATGGCTGCCCACTGCTTCACTGAGTGCATGGGTTAAATGCAGAGAGGAATTTCCCCACAGGGATCAATAAAGTATAAAGTAAGTATATGACTACGGCCGTCTTCTTCTGTTTGTCTACCACCACTATGTCCGGTTGGTTAGCCACCACCATTTTGTCCGTTTGTATCTGGAAGTCCCACAGGATCTTAGCTCGGTCATTCTCCACCACCCTTGGGGGCGTCTCCCATTTTTGACCTCAGGACTTCCAGGTTATACTCGGCACAGATGTTCCTGTACACTATGTCAGCCACTTGGTTATGGTGTTCCATGTATGCCCTGCCTGCTAGCATTTTGCACCCTGCTGTGATGTGCTGGATTGTCTCTGGGGCATCGTTACACAGCCTGCACCTGGGGTCTTGCCTGCTGTGATAAACCCCAGCCTATCACAGCAGGATCTGTGCTCAGAGCTTGTTCTTGTGCTGCCATGATTAGTGCCTCGGTGCTGTCTTTCAGTCCAGCTTTGTCCAGCCACTGGTAGGCTTTCTGGATGTCAGCCACTTCCTCTATCTGCTTTCCATGATGGTTCCTCCTCTTCCTCCTCTTATTTGGGTTTCTGCTGCCCGGGTACAGCCTCGGGTGCTGGACTTGGGGTGAAACCCTCCGTGCATGGTCAGGAGCTTCCTGGTCTTGATGTCAGTGGCTTCCGTCTCCTTCTTTGGTCAGCTTATTATCCCAGCAGGGAATCCGATCATGGGCGTGATAGCTTACTGAACGGTTGATCTGGGCTATCAATACCTACGCCCTGCCTGTGTTCAGGTACCCTGTGGGATAATAACGAGTACATAAGAAAGATGGCCACAAATGACCACATGCCCAGTGGATACCCAAGTGAAACCCAAGAAAAAGGAGCAAGAAGAGGAACCATCATGGAAGGACAGGCCCCTGCACGGTATGTACCACTGGCGAATAGAGGAAGTGGCTGACATCGAGAAATCCTACCAGTGGCTGGACAAAGCTGGACTGAAAGACAGCACAGAGGCACTAATCATGGCAGCACAAGAACAAGCTCTGAGTACAAGATCCATAGAAGCTGAGGTCCATCACACTAGGAAAGACATAGTAGTATACGTAGTATACAGAAACATCTGTGCCAAGTATGGACTGGAAGTCCTGAGGTCAAAATGCTAGACGTCCCCAAGGGTGGTGGAGAATGACCGAGCTAAGATCCTGTGGGACTTCCAGATACAGACGGACAAAATGGTGGTGGCTAACCAACCGGACATTGTGGTGTTAGACAAACAGAAGAAGACGGCCGTAGTGATAGACGTAGCAATACCAAATGACAGCAACATCAGAAAGAAGGAACACAAGAAGCTGGAGAAATACCAACGGCTCAGAGAAGAACTCGAGAAGATGTGGAGCGTGAAGGTAAGAGCGGTCCCAGTGGTACACAGAGCGCTCGGTGCAGTGACCCCCAAGCTAGGCGAGTGGCCCCAGCAGATCCCAGGAGCAACATCCGAGATGTTATAAAAAACCCAGCAGGGGCGAGAGGGGGATTTGTATTAAAAAAAACAAAAAAAACACAGAGAGACAGAGTTAAAACAAATTTTAAAAAATCTCCCTCTCTCCCACTGGAGGCTGGTATGTGTGTGTTTTTCCTCAAACTCTGACCTCTGTATGCCCCATATTTCATCCTGGATTGTGGCTTGCATGCTCACTAATTCTCACCCTTCCTCTTTCCACATGGAGCCTTAGGGTGTTAAGCTTCAAGTGGGACCCTCTGTGCACTGTAGGGCGTTTTCATGTCTTGCCATCAGTGGCATCTGTCTCCTCCTGTTGCCATATTATTATTCCAGCTGAGTTTCTGATAAAAGTCTCACAGCTCTGGCCAGTAGGCTAAAGAGATACAGCAAGGAAACATTGGCCAACAGAATAAATTGCCTGTTCTCCAAAGATCCATCCGAGGTATACTCTCAACTACAAGGGAAGAATGTTATGAGGGCTGACTCACACAGAGCTCAAACAGAACAATTCTGTAAGAATATCCCCGAAAACAGACGGCAACACACGACACCAACACCAAGTGGCTAGTGGACAGCAGACCACAACAACCTCCCAGAACAAGAACCAGTCAACATCACAAAGACAGACATCTAACAACGCCTTAAAGTCTGTGCTCTCTCTGCTGTTGTGTTGGTGTGTGTCGGGCTGTGAGCTGAAAAGCTACAGCCGGCGGTATGTGTACAACAACCGTGTGTGAAAAGTGGCCTATAAAGAAACATTGTCATGCAAACATCGTCGGGTCTGCCGTGATATGTTTACATTGGGACTTCTGCTCCTCAATCTCTGAGCGGTGTTTGTTTTTAACATAGTTCACAGTGAAGAACAGCTGCTGACATAATGTGGATCCGAAGATCCATAACTGGCCTACCTGGGGTTGAAAGTCTCGATAAATGCACGGCGTTTCGGCGGGTACACCGGCTTGTGTGACGCTTATTTTGAGCGATGAAGAAATAATAGAATATAATTGTATTTTTTATATTTCAATATCACAATAATCTAACAATTCAGAACTACAAGTTAAAAAAGAACTAATATAAATAAAATACACTTCAGCTAATTACTTCTAATTTATTTTCCCAAACCACGCAGAGCCGCAGTATAAGGACTAAAGAGCTGCAGGTTGCCGACCCCTGTGTTAGTTGGTTTCAGAGAAAGAAAAGAAAGCTGCTAGCATGACCCAGCTAATGACCTGACCCGAATCCAAGTAAAAATCTATGGAATGAACTAAATCTCAGAGTACATAGACGGTGGAACCTTCAGGATTTGAAAACTGTTTGTGTGAATGAATAGGACAAAATTATATCTGAGCAATGCATGCAGCTAGTTTCTCCATATACGAGGTGTCTTGAAGCCATCATCATCAACAAAAGTTATTAAATTAAGTAATAAATACATCTCAATGCTTTTTCCTTGTGTCGTTTCTCTTCATCATACTTTATTTGTGAACATCTATGGCTTGATTTCTTTGTCTAGATTGGATGGGTTTTTACGGACTGGTGCGAATTTCATATTAATAGCACCTTTAGAAATATATTTTCTTATAACACTAGTGACATGTTCAATCCTTATTTTACCCACTGTATACAAGTACCTAGGTATTCCACAGGTCAACAGGAACCATGATAAAAAGGCACGAAGGTCAATAACAGCCAAATAACGCAAGAAGGGAGCTGAGAAGCCAGAACAGTATTGATAAGATCCAAACCATCAATACATACAGCCTATCAGTCATTAGATACCCAGATGGAATAATAAGCATCTGCCAATCATGTCAAGACATCATGGGTTTACACTATCGAGGGACAGAGGAAGAGGATGGCATCATAAGGACAGCACTCAGCCTCTGGTCATGGCAGCATAAGAACAGGCCCCAAGCACCAAATCTATGTGGAAGGATATATCCAGAGTGGTCCCGGGATTATTAGGAGCTGTAACCCCTGCACTGGAAGAGTTATTGCAGCAGATTCTAAGCACATATCACAGGTCTCTGCCCAGAAGAGTGCAGTCCAAGAAATAGCTAAGTGATATGCAGAACCCTCGAACTCCCCAGCCCGTCAGAGGTCCCGAGCTTTAGGCTAACACACATACCACCCGCCTTGGGCTCAGAGGCAGATTTTTTTGTTGTTGTTTTTTGTTTCATATCACAGAAGTTGGTTAGTGTTCCATTTTCAACCTGAGCCTGAGGTTGGGAAGAGTCCCACAGCTCTGGAAAACCTCCTGTGTT